AAACATACAGTACACCACACTGGTTCTGACATGCATATACACATGGGTTATTCTCAGATTACCATAGGGCCACAACCCCCTGAGGTAGCAAGAGGAAACCACCATTGACAGATTGGTGTGCACACATCCATTCACCAAACAAGCTATTAGAGAGGTCGATAGTGTGTGTAGGACATTAGCAAGCTGCCAATGACCAAAAAATTGGTTGAGTCAGCTGCCAGGCATTAGAAAGCAGCACCACCAATCAAAGAGCCAGAACAACGAAGTAAAAGTGTGACAGAGGCTGATATGTCCAAGTGCATGGGACAAGGAACCAGTCTCCATTACTGTATGCTTAGACAACATTTAAAACATACAACAGTGAATTGAGGACGTAGGCATCAATTAAGTGCAATTTTCCATTTTATAAAATGGCTGTTCTAGGAGGCAAATTGTTTTTCTGTCCTATAAGGTCCATGGAATTATTCTTTCTGTTAAGTACTCTGCTTTTCAGTGCTGGCAGTAACTGAACATGTATGACGTGAGAAATAGACAGCAGCTGCCTTCACCTGGACACATTCACATGATGCAGGTGAAGGCTCCTGTAGAGCACAGGTAAGCACCACGCATGTAGGAGGTGCAGGCCTCCACCCACAGGCAGAATTTGACTTTCATACTTGTGAGGATAGGAAAGTGACTAACCAAAATAATTTCTTACTGATATACTGTATTAACTGTCAGTGTAATGTGTATTTACAGCCAATGAAATCAAATATTCACACAGCATGTTTATTGCTTCACTTCTGTATTTTAGTTATTTAAAAAAATGGTGTATGAAGTTTAATACTTTTACAAAATTATATTGCTTTTCAGATACATTTGCTTTATCACAAACTTGAAAAGTTATACTTATATGTAATTGTCTCTCCTTCTGGTTAGTGTAAAAATCCATGTGTTCTCTGGGGTCTCTTTAGCATCTTCTATGGAAAAAAGAAGTTCTTTTCTTCCCAGTTTGCATCCTCTTTCTTATTTGTCTCATCACAGGAAGAACTTTGTTATAATATGGCTATTCCATATGATAAGCTATTCCATCTTTGCAAAGTGGGACCTAAATGACAATTCCAGACAAATATGTTGCAGCTAAATGAAATAAACACAGTGACTTTCTAGAAGTTCCATTTGGCATAAAAGAATATTCTAATGCTTATCTGAGTACCCCCCCCCAAAAAAAAAAGCTCTGACCTGGAAGTGAAGCCATTTTGTCAAGGGACCAACCAAGCCTGAACTCACCTGCAGAAGTATTTATATCTTGCAGCCTGCCATAACCTTTATAATAGCAGAGACCCTCAATTATGCTACCATATACATTCTAGGAACTGGGCACATAATAAATGTTCAGAGATAAGGGGAGGCCTATCTTTATAATTATAATAATAATTGCTTACACCTATAGTGCTTTTCTGGACACTCCACTCAAAGCACTTTACAGGTGTGCCAGAATGCTCACCACACACCAGCTATCAGTGGGGAGGAGAGCAGAGTAAGTAAGCCAATTTATAGATGGGGATTATTAGGAGGCTTATGATTGGTAAGGGCCAATGGGAAATTTGGCCAGAACGCCGGGGTTACACCCCTACTCTTTTCTAAAAATGTCCTGGGATTTTTAATGACCACAGAGAGACAGGACCTCGATTTTACATCTCATCCGATGACGGTGCCAGTTTACAGTATTCTGTCACTATACTGGGGCATTAGGACCCACATAGACCGCAGGGTGAGCTGGGTGAGCCCCACTAACACCTCTTCCAGCAGCATCCTTAGTTTTTCCCAGGAGGTCTCTCATCCAGGTACTGACCAGGCTCACACCTGCTTAGCTTCAGTGGGTTGCCAGTTGTGAATTGCAGAGTGATATGTAACAGGAAAAAGCACATTCCATAAATGCATGTATAAATGATTATTGTATATTTGCCACTTTGTTGTAAACCCGTTTTGTAATGACTATGAGTTGAAATGTAAATGATTTATTTTTACTAATTTTCATACACTTTTAATAGGTGGGGACTACCCTGTTTAGAGTATAATAGAAATGCCATTACATATCTCTAGGAAGCTTTAATCAGTATTAGGATGCAATTGAATGATTAAAATCTGTTACGAGCTGTTAAACTTGGGAGCCTGTTAAAGGAAGTCTTTTTATCAAAAGATCGACATGAGCGTTATGTGTGCTATTCCCAATTCCCAACTTTGTTACTTTGTCCTCCTGCATTTCTTCCATTGTTCCTACCGTGTTTGTTTTCAGTTCTGGCCTCCAGCACTGGAGATAAGCTGGGGGGGGGTCTCTTTTTTCAGCTCTGCCACTGGAGCTTAACCGCTGGAGCTTCTCCAGTATGCCAGCAAATCCAGAGTACTGCCAGCACTAATTGGCACTCTCAAGAAACAAAGCCCCCTTGCCAAAGCATGGCAACATGACAACATAAACAGCTCAATGGCATAATTCTTTTCACTGTGATTGCAAACAAACAGACAAGAACTCGGGGCTAAGGTTCTCTCAACAAAAAATTCGGTCCTTTAATGTTTAGATTACTCCTGTTATTACTTCTGCAAGGCACCCGTCACATTCAGTTTAGAATTGACTTTAAAATCCAATTTCTGACTTTCAAGACTTTAAAGGCTTGTTCCTTTTTTATGTAGCTGACCTTTTGCCCAATTATATCTCCAGCCGCACTTTTCAGTATTGTTTTGCAGGTTTCTCATGTGTTCCAGACTGTGCACCACAGGTCACAGTGACTTCTGGTAAGATCTGATGCCTGCTGAGGACTTTTGCATGTTAAAACTCCTCTCAACCCAACATTAATCAAGGATCTGCAAGTAGTTACTGGTTGTAGTCAGGTTCAAAATGAATTAACAAAACAAGTGCCTACTGTAGCTCTGTTTGAGTTCAAGGTATACAAGTGATAGTACCCTATCTAAAACAATACATATACTGTAGTTCTAATGTGTAGAGAATACACACATTGTGATAACACAATGCAAACTAAACAAAAATGAAAAAGTAGGGGTTCATTCTGCTTGGACAAGTAGAAACAATACAAAACAACATATCAGCTGTGTTTCAAACCTGAGCCTACCTGAAGAAGGCTCCAAGGCTAAAAGTATGTTTTTTTCTACAGTTTAGCATGGAATAAAATTATATGTGTCTCTTTGCAGCTTGCAGGCTGACAAAGCTCCCCACTGGAACAAAATTTAAATGAACAAATTCTAAAAAAACATTTAATGAATGTACCACTCATGGAATAAAGTTCCCAGTCCCTTGGAACAGATGTGCATGACTTCCATACTTTTCCTGAAGGATTTTAAAAAGTAGCCAGTTAGAAGGTTTTGAAGAAAGAGCAGAGCCAATATAAGTTTCATTCCTAGTAATTCAATTTATGAAAAAAAAACATTAATAGGCAAAAGTTCTATCTTGCCTGTATATTCCAAAAACCACTGCTTCTTCTAGCAACAGGGTATACAACTTATCCAGGGTCTGTTACATAGGCTACCTAAATAAAATCGGAAGATGTAGTTCTTATGAAGATCTTATGAAGATCTTACTTCATAAGAACTTATTTAAATACATATATCTAAATATTTTTGTTGAAGATTTGCACTTTATTAAAATTTTAAATGATTTCACAGTCACCACCTCAGCTATTGTTGAAATGTGTTCCTTTATAGAAACTTGTGCATGTACTGTAGATACAATAAGGAATGAGTCAAGCACATTAAACTTAATAAGCAACATTTATGGTATCAACATTACTATTAACATTTTTGTTTATAGCAAAGCCCCAGTACTTACCTGGGGTCACTGCATTCGATACTTACTTTAAAATTCAGCATGAATTGGAAAGTACACTTGCATGGATTAGTATGTACAAAAGCCTACCAAACAAACAATTTCTAATAATTTATAAAACATCTAAGGTAGAATCCAGCAATATTACAAACCAGTGCCTCAAATGCATTATCACCTGCAAATGCTGACAGTATTTACAGTGCACCTGAAACATCTGGTGGAACTACACTAAAAGGATGAAGTGTCTCTTAGAACTTGCCAGTCACCTGTGCAAACGTTAAAAACGTTAACAATTGTGCGATATCACTTGTACTTAATGCTGTCCTAAATCAGTTCACCAAATAAGTCAATAGGAAAAGTATTCTCATCATAAGAAGGACAATTTATTCATCATAATTACATAAAATAACAGTTTAAGTTGAAATACAAGACAATTCTTTTTCTGGCTGAAATTCACAAAGAAAATATGGGATACTGGAAAACTGCAATGCTGGAAGTTTTAATTGTAAAACCTGACAGACCAGAATTTGAAATATCTGCAGTCTGATTATTAATACTGTAAGCATTTTAAAATGTTTTGCATTTATTTCCTGCATGGAATTTTAAGAGCATAAAGGAAAAAAAATATCCATCATTACTGTTAATAAAATCAGAGTATTCAGCTCCATGTTGTTTTGACAGATGATTTTACTTAGATACATTTAAAACAGTGAAGTGCATGAGGGCAAACGTGCAGAAATGTACCACAGGTAATTCTGTAAAAAAAGAATCCATTATATGGATCACACTGTATTATACTGTATGATCAAAATGAGTAGATAGAGGTGCTTTGTTGTGACTCATACTGCTAGTCTATAATGTAGCTTTTTTCTTAAACAGTTACTGTACATGCACTTTAAAAAGCACACATGGAGTAATCAAAGTTTTCCACATGTCATAAGCACATCAAAATTGTGCAAATGAGAGGCTATTTGGGCAATCTTATTTTTGTTTGGTTGACAGGAGCTTGCCAGGGAAATCATCCGGACATTTCCCAGATCTGTTTCTACAACACTGGTGAGTATTTTGCTCCAGACAATCAGGCACATACTGTACTGTGTCAGTCTCACAGTATTGTTGGTAAAGTGCTTATTGAAACAGATTACAGATCAGCAGTAAGGGGAAATGAAAGAATCTGATAATGAATGCCACACTCTGAATGTTCACCACTGTGGATGAATCAGAGAGAATGCATACAAGGAGAAGGGGCTTCATTTAAGACAGGGATATGAATGGTGCCTGCCTTTTGACAGGTCTTCCATCAAAGCTTAATTTTCATAAAACAAACACTGAATGCCTACTAAACATACAAAGCTCGGGACTCTTGTTGACATTATAACATTTACTTGTTCCTTTCAAGAAAAAAAAAAGTGCATTTTTTCCATCTGCCAAACAACATGATGGAGGGAAAGTAATGCTAAGATATGCAAAATATGTATATAGAAATAAAAAATAACAATAAACAAAAACTTAATCTCTTTTTAAATTAAGAATATTGATTGTTTCTGTGCATGACTTGGCTTCCTTTTGGCTAGTACCAATATTACCAGCATCCTAAGAACTGCGAAACAAATGTGCACAGTAGGCATCACCATTTTCGGATGTTACATCTGTATCAGTCACTTTTATTAGGCAAATGCAAAGCATATTAATCCATAAACTGACTTTAAACTTATCAGAAGCAAGGCAGTGAGAGCAAAGTCCATTGAGGCTGCAGATGGATCTGTATGCCCATTTTAGCTGTATTTCTCTGTTTAAATTCATCAGAAACTCCTTTTCACAACGAGTCCTGTGTCTCTTTTTTGCAAAGTTGAATTCTATAAATAAAGGCTATTTACAAATAAACTTTAAACCACTTCGTTTTTTAATCTTTTAGTTTTTTCTTCTGTTTGGAAAAAAATACAATATACTGGAAACCCTTTTCTAAATTAGAAGGGCTTCTGTAAATAGGTCTTTCTTATAATAGTTTCAATTGGCGGATATGATATAAAAAACATAGTGCAATCGTTGTGTGAAAGTCCGAAGACGTGGCGCACCGAGCTCATGTGGAGGAAGTCTGAGTGATACTCTTCTGGCTGCTACTGTTCTTGATGATGTAGGTGGAGGAGTTGCTTTTGCGGCTGGAGTCCAGCTCGCAGGAGCACTGCGTGGCTTTCAGGTAGCTCGCGGAGCAGCACAGGAAGTGCTGCATCAGGTCGTGGAACAGATGTCCCGCAAAAAACATGTAAATCCAGGGATTGCAGCAGCTGTTCAAGCTGGCCAGCAACATGGCAATGATGAAGGCTAGCTCTGCAAGATAAAACAGAAATCACGCTTACTTGTACTCTGGAGCGGCGCTCACCACAAAGTTCACAGGTTTCCCCTGGGGTTGCACAACGTCTGCCGTTTATAAATGGTTGTTGTGTTGTGTTTCTACTAATCCTATCAGAGGGCAATTGAATTACCGAACATGTTTTCTTCACTTCTTACGTGCGTACCTTAATTCCAGATATTACATTTTATTTTAATAAATTGTATTACTTTTGAGACACCTTGAAGCAAACCTGTAATGTGTTTCTTGATAATATTGGCAGTATGACTTATTTTGTATTTTTCAGCATTCTTTTCACAATCATATCAGAAATACTCTTTAAAAAAATACGGATTGTTACCTTTTAGGAGTTTATCATGCATTACATTCCCACCATTCTAGACTGAATTAAAAACAGAAGTAACACGTTTTACCTTATTGATCTTTTATGTCTACTAATGCTTTGATGTCTAGCTGGGAGTGAAAATCTTCCACTGCCGTGTTACAGAAATGAGCACATGCACACATTTCTGTGAAAAATTAAATCTGGCTGTAGCTCTGTTGTGTATCAAGCACAACAAATCACATTATTCATGGGTAATATTTAGGCAATGTTGAATAGGCCCCTGAAGCAAACTGGCATTTCGGAAATCAGTTCAAGATTAATCGAGGCAGCATTTTTCCTGTGTTAAAACCCATACTGCTGATCTTTTTTGTATTAATCTTGGCTTTCCTTTTAAATCTAGCGCAAAGACATTTTTGAAGTTTTAAGTGGTTAAGGTGAATTAGAATATCAGAGGAATGCAATGAAGTTCCATCTTTAACCAGCAGGTGGTACTAATGTACTCATGTGCTTCTAAATCATTCATTTTAATAAGATCAAAGAACTATCATCCACTTCAGGGACAAGAAAATATCTGGCACTTGGAAGATAATCTCAGTATATTTAAGAAAAAAAAACCATTGTAAATCATACTTCATGACTCTCACCAGAATCATAGATGCATAGATAATACATGCAAAAGAAAGCAGAAGAAAAACAAATGCTATTCTTCAACCTCATTTAGCTTGTAGGAACAGTACTATATGAAACACTGAAAAAACACTGAAGCACTTTTGAGCCACTTTAAACAAAGAATTGTTTTTTATAAAATCAAAAAATTCACATTTTAAAGTTTAAAGTAAAAATCCTTTGTTTTGGTGACATGTGTGATGGTTTGCTTAATTTTAAAACACTGGACAGACATTTCCAGTACACAGTAATGTACCAGATCGACACCGTACACACTTCACTACACAATATGATATGAAAGCAAAGGAACTGATAAGATATGCATTTCGACTGAGGGACCTTCACTTTCATTTATGTGTTTTTACAACTGTACAAGGCAGCTAGGTGACCTAATTTCCGCATCTGCCCGGTCTAGAGCCTGCAGAAGCAATGAAAGAATAAAGTGTGCAGCAGTATGAATGTCTGTGTATAGCAGGCTATTGACCATAAGGAAAAAAAGCCAAGCTACAGTATCTGCCACATAGCTCCTGCTTTAGTGGAGAAAACAATGCAGAGACATGGCTATCCCCAGTGCTGAGATTTGTGAGGTTAAAAAACAAGACAAAAGCAATTTCTCCCCATGAGCTTCATAAACCACAAGCTGCAGTCAATTAACCTAAAATGTTCTCAAGTTAAAAAGCTAGAACCTGTGTTAAAATAATGGTTAATTGTTTACTAAAAAAAGTTCTATCAGCCTATCAGTTCTATCAAATTCAAAACTCCTGTTGGAGGGAGCTAAGCAAAGCATTAAATTGCTTTTCTTTTCAGCCATGTAGAAACGTTATGCCAAGATGGAGTAGGGTTTGTAAAAACTAGATAAAGATGTTCCACAAGTTGTGACAAGTGCCACCTGCCCAAATAAAAACCTTCTCGGTCTATCTGTGCTGTGGCACGTCAAAACATTTTTTTTTATTTGTCTGCTTTCTAGTTTGTAGTTTAAGAGGGATATCATCTTCATTAAGTACTCAGGATTAATAGAAGGAGGATTATCAAACTGAAGTTAGATCGCAGCCAAAGTCACATTGCTTTGTGCCACAGGCTGCCTGCTCTGAGGTTTTATTTCCTCACTTAATAAAAGTCTTACTACTGATAAACACATTCAAAAGCCATGAGGGGGTTTTATAAGGGACAGCAGGCTCTAATTTCCGTTGAAAAGAACAATGATGTGATGCTATATTAAAAAACAAACGTAATAAAAGAGAAGTGTTGCAAAATTTGAAATCCTCTTGAACACTGTGCTGTTAAAGAATGGAACCCAGTTAAGATCACTTTAGCCATATACAATTTCTTGCATTACAAGTTTGTCTTTTTCACATACCCCAGCTTGCTCTCCAGGAGACACACAGACAGGGAGAGAAGCTTGGGGTCAGAGTGCAGGATCAGCCATTTATATAGCAACCCTGGAGCAGTTGGGGTTAAGTGCCTTGCTCTAGAGCCCAAGGGAGTAGAACTCCCCTGCCAGCCATGGGACTTGAACCAGCAACCTGCCAGCCACAGATGCAGATCCTTAACCACAGAGCCACCACTCTGCCCTTAAAAAAAAAACAGTTAAGACTTTATCCATAGATTATCAGAAAGTAACAAATCCCTGGCAAGGCTTACGGCAACCATAGGTCTATCCTAGAAGCACTGGGCATAAGGTAGGACTGCACTCTCTAAAGGACATCAGTCCCTCACATGGCACTAGCATGAGCATAATTTAAACACACCAGATAACATACCCAGCATTTCTCTGGGAGCACCCAGAGATGGCCATACCAGACATAAAGATAGCATGCAAGCTCCACACAGATGGTACCCCAAGCTGGAATCAAACTATGGGTTTGAGCCTCTTCATCCTATAGGTACTGTAGGAGCTTATACATTAACCAACAAGGTTAAGACATCTAATTAAATATTCCAAACATTCACAAAGCATTCAATTCTGGATATTGTTGTCTCTAGTGAAATAAGCATCAGCTGTCTGTATTTCCATCCAATGACAGGTGAGTGAAAAAAAGCAAAAAAAAATGCTATTAAAGATATAGTTAAAAATGACAATGTACCATTAATTTTCTGTTTATCATCGTCTAGACTTATACATACTTTCTGCGAAGCTTCACAAAAACTATGTAATAGTCTAGAAGATACAGTTCAAAGCATATTTCTGCAGTGTGTTTAGTTATACTGTCTAAAAATACTTTACAGACAAGAACAAATACATACTTTAAGAAAAGATAATAGAGAGACTAAGCTTCACATAATTAAAAAGATAAATCAAGTTGATAAATGCATGTGAGTTTATCAGGGATTTGCACTGCAGCACAGAGAATACAGTAAAAACTTTACATAATATTTAAAAAAAAACAATGTAAAAACTTGTCTGTAACTCATAATTGATGTATTATCCATATATAAATGGTGGAGACGTGAGCATACAGGATGTGCATGTTTTTAATAATGGACTAATTCACCAAGGTATTTAAAATTCACTACATAGAGAGGAACACCACTTGCATATTGTACCAATTAACACAGAGAGTTCTTGTACAGTACAGTATATGAACTAAGTGAATTGCTAATACAGACATACAAGCATGGAAAGGTTAATGTCTTTAAATATCATTTTTTGAAATATATTATTTTTTTTTTAATTTTGATTAGTTTATCAATAAATTATACTGCTCTAAAAGTATAATTTTTGTACATTCTTCTTTCCACATTAAATTACGTAGAACTTGGTGTGCCATGTCACCGTATAATCTATTTGTTTTTCATTAGACAAAAAAAGTCAGCATAGTACAGTATTTTGCTTCCTTTTTTAAAATGTTAACTAATCTACTTCTGAAGCTTCCCTTTACAGGACGTTAACTAACTGTCTTTTCTAGATCAAGAAACACATTTACAAACCACTTAAGCAAAAGAATAATATGAAGGCTTCTGGGCACGAATGTGTTAACTATAAGACACTTATGTACATTGAAGTAGAACTGATGTAGCTGTGTAGATGTAGCTTTTAATGGTTACCCTTAGGCCAAAAACTCAGATTTTAATGAAATTATTCTCATGTTTCCATTTTCCATCCCTGTTGTTGGCTTGTAGTTAGTTCAGGGGGAAATAAAAAGAAAACAATGTGGAATTATGCAGTCACTCATCTACTTAATGTAAAAAAGATGGAATTAGGTTTGCCTTTCGTGCACTTAAAACAGAAATTTGGGAGTAGGTATAGCTCAATATTTATTTTAGATATTGATAGTTGTCTGTCTGCCTTCATCTCTACAACGTTATCTGCCAATCTCTCTTTCTATAAGTGGAAATATATAGATAAATAATCTAATAACCTTACTGAAACAATTGAATTTTATTGAGCCTGTAAAGTATCTCTCAGAAAGGCTGGTACAGATATGTTTTTTCTTAGCATTGAGCTACAGTATAATTCTTTTGGCAAACATTCCTTGAGGTTTTGAAAGCAGTCTGTAAAAGGGTTAAGACAAAAAGCGTTATTTTCTTTCAGCTTTCCTTTAAAAGAAAATTTAATATGCATACATTTTCTTTTGTGATAAAAGGGGCTTTTAATACTCAGTATCATGCATATCACAAAAGGAAATTGCACCTCTCAAAATCCAATCACGAACTTTGAAGTAAAGATGTAAGAGAAATAATGGAAAAGTTTAAAGCAACAGCATATCCGAATTTACCTTTATCTGTATGCCATAGGCAATCATTGAAATTACTGTGACTTCTTTTTTAACATTTGCTTATAGTTCAAGTTATTTAAGGAATGAAAATACTTTTGTATATAATTTAGATTTGATAAGATCTGTTTGTTCAGTCTGGAAGATAAAGACATAATCATAAATCATTTTCTTGGACACACAAATTTAGAATATTTTCGGAACAGTTATACCAAATATAGATTTAATTTTTGAATGTCTGTCTTCAGGGTGGATATGAGAATAATTTTTTAAT